TTTTTTATAACGAATTTTTTTGTTTATCGTAATAAAATAAATATAAAATTATGTTAAAATTATAATTCATTAAAAAAAAATCAAGCTTTACAATTTGATTTGCTTAACATTATTCTTAAGGATATCAATTCGTTCCACTCATAACGAATTAAATTATAATTTAAATAATTATTGATAATTTATAAATTGTTGTCATCTATCATTCGCTGAATTAGTTTAACTGATCCTATTTTTAAATTTTGCATTTTGAGATAGCAAGCAGTAGAAAATTAAATCTTATTTTTAAATTGAAAGCTTTAAAATCACCGTGTTAATGTTTGTCCGTGTGATTAGTTAGTTTACTGCCATGATATTTATTATCGATTTAGAAAAATAATATTAGTCCAACTAAATTGTTTAAAAAATCTTTGGTACCCTTAACAGTAGTTTTATCTTTACTGAACCGGTTTTTATAACCTCAATGAATGTAAATGAAATAAAATGACGAAAAGCTAATATGTAATGACACCATGTAATGGCACTAGTGGTTTTCAACCGCTCGTTTTGAGCCGATTTTTAAAAGCGGCTAACTCAATATTTAATCTAGAAAAATATTATGGAAGCCTGAAGATTTTATTTGTAGAAGGAACAACGGTTTCGACATTTATTAGCAAAATCTCGAGGCTTAGGCAATATTTTTCTAGCTTAAATATTGAGTTAGCCGTTTTTAAAAATCGGCTCAAAACGAGCCTTTTAACAACACTAAATGACACTATGTAATAACACCTTATTTTTTAAAGCGATTTAAAAATATAAAACCATGTACCTTTAATCGAAAAAAGTAAAAATGTGTGAAAAGATGTTTTAACTTGTGAGATGGGGGACTATTATTATGATAGAGTTATGTTATTGTTAAAATTATGCATTATTATTGGTTTAATAGATATTTATTAATCTAAATCTATAAATAGTATAAATATCTAAATTTGGCCACAAATATTATTATTTTTTGGTTCTTTTAAACCTTAAATTATTTTAAAGCTCTGTGTTTTAGAATACATTTTTATCGATAGTTTTTAATTGATGCAATAATTAAAATAAGGAATAGAATATTTGATTAAATAAGCTGAAAATAAAATAAATTTGCAAATATAAAATAAATTTGTAAATATAAAAAATTTGTAAATAAAATGTTTTTAAATTAAAAGGTCTGTAAAACATTATTATTGTATTTCCTGAGATCTATACTTAATATAAAATTATTCAAACCCCCTCCCCCCAATTAACACGAAAGTTTATTTGTTTCGTATATACTGACATTACTCATAAAAGTTATCAAACAACCTATATTCGGCTGCTTCAAAAATACGGATCGATTGACCTACTACCCAACTTCCCGTTAAAACTAAATCAAGCATTAAAACCATCCAATCTCACGTAAGGAAAATCAGAGTCAAAATCAAGGCCACTACAGCAAAACCCCCTGACAAGATTACCACTTATGGACCCCCTACTATTACAATAACAATCACTAGACCGCTCCTTACCTTAACTACCTGCTTTGGAACATCAAACACTAAACAGAAGCTACTACGATTGATCAAACTAGAAATAGGCTATGATTAGTTTGAATTTGATGAATGATTGACTGCCTTCATTTTTTTTAAATTATTATATTGTACTTACTAGTTATATATTTAGAACTTTTATAGTATTATTTTAACTATATTTTATCCACTTTTAAATAATATAAAATTCAAATCATATTTGAAAATAAGCATTCCATAAATTATTTACCGTTAGTCTTGCATAATCTTATAGCCTTGATGCAATAACTTTTCTATGAACATTCAAATTATATTTATAATAAAAACAAATTTAATTTTCAACTTCAGGTTTTTATGGGTCATAAATTATCATATTTATGGAATGAGAAGTGTTTTTTAAATATCCTCTCACTTATTATTTCTAATAAACAACCTATTTCTTGATTCCAATTCTAAGACATTGGGAAAGTCCCTGATTAATCCAATTATTGGTGCTGGTATTGTGATAAGTAAGGAATTCCAAAGGAGTTTTGGAGAGTGTTAGAGTAAATAATAGGATAAAGACCATCAGATTTTAAGTTATAACAAATAAAATCGTCCTAACTCCTAAATTGTCTAAACGGTTGCAAATCGTTGACCATTATAAAAAATAATCTAATATACATATGGGAAATATCAAAATTGTAATTTTTTAAAGCAATAAGATTGGTTTGGAATTTAACACGTGTGAATATATCTTTACTGCTATGAGAAATTTTGAACCTTGCCTTTTCCTATCAGTAAAGGAAAGCTAACTGGGGAAGGGGGTTGTGTAATAGCTCATTATATTTTATCTGAAAAGTTTTATATGTACGTTGCCCAAGCGAAAGGAATCTAGCATGATTTCCCATCATCAGAATTATATTCCATAACATTCATGAATTTATGACTGCTCATAATTCTAAAATTGGGAAACCCCTATTTTTGCCTTGAATTAATATAATATAAGTGGACCTTATAATATCGCTCAAATCCGCTCTTCCCATATAGGAATTAGAATTATACTAATTTATATGCTGAGTAATTTTTATTTTCGACAAAATTTTACGAAAGAATTTAGACGCTGAATAGAAAGGTAAGAATTTTGCATGTTGACACAATTATCACTATTGAACTATTTTTTTAATGAAATGCGAATATTTTATTAATCTTTCCAAATCGATAATCTTCATAGTCCTTTTCTTCTTTTTACCATAACTATAATTGTTTATAGGAGAATATTAATCAATTTTTCTTATGGCTTTATGATGTTGTATAATACAACTTGAATACTTACATAAAAAATAAAAATATGAATCAATTAAATAGCAAAATATAGACTATAGCCATTTTTAGCTTTTTATAATGTTTATGAACTAAATTCAATTTCGTCCTCTTGACAAAGCCTTTGAATCTGATTAATCTTAATTTTTTTTTGCCTACATTTCAAATGTAATGTAGGGTGGGGTGGGATATCTATGCATTTTTATTTATTATTAATGACCACCATGCCAAATTTTTGGGCATTACATAGAGACAATCGATTGCATATAAGAACAAATATTTCTGGTAATATATAATCCTAAAGGGGATAAATTATATTGTAAACTAAAATTATTGTTATTGTTTTAAAGATTATAGTTGACCATGATATTTCTTGACATGGTTAGAAAAAAAAATTAATCAAAAAAATATTTAATATAAAGTTTGGCATTACTATTTCGTATCTTATCTCGTTTTTTGTTTTTTTCGTTTTATTTTGTTTTTAAATTTTTTAATGTATTATGGCTATTTAGTATTAAGCCGACCTAGGACACGGCCTTAATGCTTACAATTACTTTTTAATGCTCCAAATAAAAAAGTTAATTGTCCAGAAAAAGTACTAATTAATCAGGAATATAACTGAAATACTCATAAAAAATATATGAAACGGTCAGAAATCGTTTTACATATTATGAAAATTATCTGTGAAAATCAGTAAAAAAATTCTAAAACTTAAACATTTAAAATAAGGGGAAAAATTTTTTTAACGTTTCAATTTCTATTCTGAGCGAAATAATATAAGTCTTTGCTTTATTATTCAAAATTTTTGTTATTCTTGGGTAATTGATAGTTGTTTACTTTCTTTTATTGCCTTGCATTGAAATAATATATGAAGAATTTGGGTATAAAAAAATATATTAACAGTTTTTAAGCTATAAATAGAACATTATGATAATTACTTGCATCAAAGGTTGCTATAGCAGAAACATACTTTTTAGAGTCTAAACTATAAATGAACTTATTCTTTAAAAATTATATTTTTTAGTTAATAATTTTATTATTTTTTAATACAATTAGAGGATATTAATTAAATCATGGTTTTGAAAAGAGCCCATAAAAATATTTTGAGCAAAAATTTATCTAAAAGTGCCAAATATTTTTTGTAAAAATCTTAAAGAAAAGAAAGGAAAAGATTAAATTGATTTTTAATCCAAATTTTAAAAAAAAACATATTTAAATTCAATATTTATAATACAATATCCTAATTTAGCGGTAACTGTTGTGGTCAAAATCACAATTGATATTGAAAGGATAAATTAATTTTCAAAACAAAAATTTTTCATTAATAATTGTTATTTTATTTGTAAAATGAAATGAAAAAATATTGCTAAGGATGTGTCCTTCAACTTATTACCTGAGACGAGCCGGGTTCATAATTTAAATTTTTTAAATCATTTGGAGAGTGCGTTACGGGTTTAATTCTTTGATCAGGCCCGGCCCAGGCCCACATTAAAAACATTTAGGCTCAGGCCTGGCCCGGCCCATATTTAATATTAAAAAATTATCAAGCCCAGTCCACGCCCATGATAAGGTTCAAACAAATTCCCCAAGCTCAGCCCAAGCCTATATATAAAATTTAATATATTGTATTTAATGAATAACAATATTTCAGTATAATTAGACATTTTGCTTTTATTCTTTATAAGAAAAAAAAACTGTAATATTTTTTTAAGTAAACAACTTTTTAAAATAAGCTTTAAAGGAAAAGGTTTAGGGCTAAGCTTATAAAAAATTAAAATATTAGGCCCATTTTGGGGGTATACCCAGCTTATTAAGGTCTCTGATTATCAGCCATCTTTTAGTCGGCTATAAACAGCCTAAAAAGTAGGATGGAAAAAAAAATCGATAAAAACTAAAAAAAACAAAGAAAAAAATTAAAACCAAACACTTAAAAATACCAAAATAAGGTGTCCTAGTTCAAAAGCTGTACCTAGGCTAAGCAAAAATAAGCATCTAAAATAAGTAGAACCAAGATATGGACTAAATGCTTTGCCATATTTTTTAAGTTTGAATTTTTTCAAGACCATTAAATTTAAATGTTTGTTTTTTATAAAAAAAAATAATATGAGACCAAAAAAAACATTTTAAATTATATTTTTTAAAACCGTGATAAAAGTAATTTCCAAGATAAATAAATAACAATGTGATAATAAATTATGGTATCCAATGCCAAAATTTTCTTCGCGGTCTTAATTAAAAAGAAAAATAGATATATAGCCTATTGCTCATTAATATTGTTGACTTTCCTTTTTCTGATGTATGATTCAAATTGGAATATGGCACCCAGTACCAGAACAAATTCCTGGACATCCTACCCAAGATTCTACAAAAAACACGTATGGAATAAAGTTAAGAACGCTTTCGATTTTAGGAAAAACATTGTTTACGATCGTAAGAAAAATGATAACTCACTAAAAGGCTCGAGCAGTGAATCGCTAAAATCATTCGATGACACTGGAGGGGTAACATGGATAGAATCTCACAGCATTTTGAATCAAGTCCTATCACCACAGCTGATTCAAGCATGCCTTCATTCAACAAGCTCCCATAATGAATTCCATATTTCAAATTCGAATCCCTATATCAAATTAAATGCTCAATATGCCAGTAATTTTTTATGGCGTCATTTCCGAAACAATTCTGGTGAACCTTATAGCGGAATATTTTACAAAATGATAGCCAGAAAATTCCCCGTCATCGATTTGCCCAATTTCCAATATAAAATTGACATAAGTTATCCCGAGTGCGAGGACAAAGAGTATTTGAACTATTTAGACTGTCCTCAAAATAATAAAGATACACATATAATACCTATTCTGACACGGGCTTCCAATAGTGTGGAGATCAAAGGTACGCAGAATTTATTATCAAATAATAGATTAGCAAAAATGATTGCCTTTCTTTCTAATGAGATACAGACTTCAAATTCTAAGGCTGCGGTTGATTCGAGCACTTCTAATAATAGCGCAAAGACTCAATCGGTTCGATTCAAAGTTAAAAAGAAGACGAAACCTATAAATCTAATCGTATTAATTCATACCGCTCCTTCTAATTTCGAAAATCGTATGTCTATTCGGAAATCGTGGGGATCCGTGAACTATATTAATAAATTGAAAAATAAAGAACCTGCTAAACCATCACCTTATCTAGCAAACGGTGAATATAAAGGACGCTTAATAGATTCTATATATAAGACTTTGAGGGGGGAAATGAAATTTGAAGAAATGAACATAAGGCTAGTTTTTCTAACAGCTTTAAATGCTATGGAAGTCAAAGAGGAAGAAAGGTTGTTTAACATGAGAATGACATCCCTAAAACCTTTTCCAGTGTCGCATAATTCTAGTACCATAGCCCGTACCTCAAGAACTACGGAACCTCGATTTAACTTCACTACATATCAACAATCAACCAGTTTTACACAAAAAAGGCTTAAAATAGAAGCGCGTAAATATAGAGATATCGTTCAAGGAAATTTTGTCGACTCCTATCAAAATTTAACTTACAAAATGATCATGGGATTTAAGTGGATAGTGAGTAGATGTCCCAAGGCCGATTACATTTTAAAGATAGACGACGATGTTTATGTAGATATATTTAAGCTTTATATACTGATTAATAAAGCAACACATTTAAAAAACGTCTATGACGATTATGAACAAAACCTAAAAACGACACCTCTAGATGTTACCGATATTAATCTTTTATTGAATAGGCTATTCTTGAACTCATTGTCATCGAATACAACTGTAACAAAAACAGATATGATCAGTAGTGTACAAAAAGAAGATAAAGAATGGATTAGTGATCTACTAACTTCTTTCACCATTCCCAAACGAACTCTACCTGTAGATAAAAATTCACATTATGATAAAGTCTCCTTATTAAATAATAACACATTTGCGCAATCTATATGCAAGGGTTTAGCAGCGGCCTACGAAACTTTAGATACAAACCCTTTCACCAATATGCTGCTATGCAATGTATGGACTGAAATGCCAGTTCTACGTGATCAGTCTTCCAAATGGTATATGAGTGAAAGTGATTATGTCAACAACACCTATCCTCCATATTGCTCTGGTGGGGCGATCTTGCTACCAACTAACGTTGCCTACAAGCTAATGTTCAACGCTCCAAATCTTAAGTATTTTTGGATCGATGACATACATATAACGGGGTCTCTGATGGCCTACTCCAAGTTATCGCTAAAAAGACTGAATTCCCGTTTTACATTCGAACCTTTTCCTACCAAAAATGATCAAGACATATCTACGTGGCTCAATGCGAATAGTGAGGAAAGTTTCTACGAGCAACTAGGCACGAATAAATATATATTTGGTCTTTTGTACAATTCCAACAATATTCAAAAGCTATGGAATCAAACGTTCAATTTTTACATGGATTATTTTATGATAATATAAATCATGGTGCTTAAAAAAAGTTAACGGAATTATAATAAATCTGATTTTTTTTCATAAACAAGTGCAAGTTTTTGTTATTTTTCAATAGGTATTATTCATTACTTAAAAGGCTAACATTATACTTTACTCTTACCCAAAAAGAATTAAATAAGATGAAGCAAATATAGTTTTCATTTATATATAATAAACCTATCGAGAATTATTCGATAATTGCAAAATTTATAAATACGAATAATAAATTATATGAATTATGTTTTTTGAACGAATAATAAATTTATATTATTCATAAATTTTAGAATTTTCAAATATTTTATAATTAACTTCCCCTTTAAAAAAATTTATTAAAGCCAATAATCAAATATTCTATTTTTTTTAGCACTTGAAAAGGTTGATTTTTATTTTATTGTGACAATGTCTTTGTTAAAATATTTCCTGAAATTAAATTTAAACAAAAATATTTAAATTGTAAGATTATGTAATCATGAGATAATATAATAGGTTTCTTTTACATCTTGTGATCCTTTTTTTAAAAATAAAATATGAATATAAAAGAAAGCATTCTTCTAAAGGTTATATGTCAAAAATCCTTTTTTTTTAAATTTGAAAAGCTTCAAAATTTTAAAATTTGAATGAAATCCTTATGTTAAAATTTTTTGAAATTTATAAAATTTTCTAGAATTATGTTTTGGACAGGTTTTTTATTTTTATCATTAAAAAGCTTATTTATTTTCTTAAGTTTCGAAAGTTTGTGAAATGTTTTGATATTTTGGACACTGCCAATAGAAGAAATAATTAAGAAAACTTTATGCCTAAAAGAATAGCTGCCTAAATGTTTATTTTAATAACAGTATTTTTTTTATCACTATTTTATCTTACTGATGATTTATTCATTAAAATGCTTTTTAAAAGTGTCGTTGAATTTAAATCAGCTGGTGACCACGTAGCACGCCATTTTAATTTTCCATATGATATTTGGTTTATGTTTGAAGGTGCCAACACACTTTAAATGACTAAATTCAGTCTAGGTATTTATTATATACCATTTGAATCAAGGCCATATTATGATATTATCTAATATTTGATTGGTTCTAACTAATAGAAAATGCCGTTGTAACAGCTGATTTATTTAAATTTATATATGTCTATTTATAATACATGACTTGTCATATTTAACGGATTCGAACCTAGATAGAAGTTTAAAGTGATTTCTTGACGTTTATTGAGAGTGAGCAGATCCTGTTCGAAAACAACGCTCTTATTTCCTGCAATTGTAATGATTTTGAGATTAAAAAAAGGGTGAAGATTGATTAAAAATGACAAAAAAAGTAGAATTGACCATAAAAACGAAGAATTTAAAAAAAAAATATTGTATGGGTAATAAGGTAAAAAAGATTAATTAAATGAAAAATTAAGAATAGTAAAAGATGATAAAAACATGGTTAAAGATGATATAAAATTAAAGAGATCGCAAAAAATTTTAAAAAAAATTAAGAAAGAAAATTACAAATTACAAAAAATTAAAGAAAAATAATTATATTTATTTTTTAAAAATTAACGATTTTCCTTTTTTGAATAGGAATTTTCCTTTTTTGATTGATAAGATTTTTATCAACCCATAAAAATTATTATTTTTTTCAAATTAATTTATTTTAGTTTAAATTCCTTTAAAAAAAATTCGCCCGCAAAAAACGTCTCAAATAGGAAGTATAAACAGTATCTGCATCTTTTGCCATTCATGGGTGTAAAAATATCTATAATATATAATATATATAATATCAAAATAGTGCAATTTTTAAAACAATAGGATCATTTTGGTATTTGGCACTTTGTGACTATATATTTTATGAGAAACTTTCCATTTAGCCTTTCCCTATCTAGTTTTGTGTATTTCCTGTACTAAGGAAAGCTAATTCGGGGAGGGGATCCTGTATATGCCCCCTATTATATTTTATCGGATGAGTTTTATACAAGTGTACATGAATCTAAATAACATAACTTCTTATCATAAAAATTAGTTCTATTCAATAATATTCGAGTAGCAACCAATATAATTCTAAAAATTGGTAGGCATTTTTGCCTTGTAAATATATCTTGTATATGAAACCTATAATTATATAAATTTATATTATGCTAAATAATTTTTATTTTTTAAAATCTTAATAGAATTTGGACAGGGTTCTATCTATTAAGGCAACTATCTTGAACTATAAATATTTATGATCTTTTCCTAATCGAAATCTTTATAATAATCTCTTTCTCCTTTTCACCATAACTCTGCCTCCAGTTGCAAAATTTACTTAGATTGGTGAAAGATAAATATTTTTAATTTTTTTGCTGTTATAATAGTACAATTTTAAAGCTATATAAAGCGTTTTTAAATTACTTCGACCCCCCTACACCCCCCCCCCCCTCCCCTTCCCCTCCCAAAAAAATAAAATAAAAAAAATTTGAATCAATAAATAGTAATTTGTTGACCATTTTTGAATTGTCTTTTTTTTGTTAGTTTTGAATGCTATTTATTCTCAAGCCAACTTTCCTAAAGTTTTATATCATTGACACTAAACACTATGCCAACCTTTTAATGGAGTATTCGATTGAGACAATCTGTTACATATAAAAATAAATACTGTTGATATATAATACTATAAATTAATTTTGTAAATCAAAAATTATTTCGATTATTTGAAAAATAATTACTTTTGTTTTCGATATATTTCTTGCCTTGCTTAGAAAAAAAATTATTATTATTAAAAAGGATTTTAATTTATTATCCAAAATTTGTTATTCTTCGAAAAATTAAGAGTTGCTTAGTATAACTTTATGTTTATTGCCTTACATAGGAAAAAATATAAACAATTAGGTAAGAAAAAATTAATTGTTTACATCTAATTTTGCTGTCAGGCACGTGCAAATGGGGGAACGAGTGGGGCAGCTGCAGAGGGCTACCTCCAAAATAAGATTTTTTTAGTAAACAACAAATTTATCTTTTTCATTTAAGAAAATTTTTTTTCATCATTTAATATTTTTATTGAAATTAACCTTAAAACTACTGGAATAACTTTTGGATATTATGATGATTAGTCTGCCTTTAAGATAAGAAAAAATATTTGCACCATATTTGGGTGGGTATACTTAAAATTACCCGCATCTAAATAAAGTTATTATTTTAATTAAGATTTATATTCACTTATTAGAAGTTTAATTTAATATATATTTTTAATTTAATATATATTATATACTAGTATTAAACCCTTAAAAAAATGACAAATTAGATTAATAGAAAATTATGTTTTAGTGAATTGAATTGTTAGGACGCGCTATATAATCAATTAATTCATTAAAAGTTCGCTAATGGAAAAAATTTTATTTAGATGCTGAGAAAAGAAAAAGAAAGAAACTAGAAGCTAAATTTATTACTCCTCAAAAATGATGCCCATTTAAGACACTTTAAAAAAACTACATCATATCATAAATGCGAGAAATACTCGCTATCGAGACCACATTAATATTCCTATGACCAATTTTGATGATCCCGCAGAACAGCTGGTTCACATTTCTATTTCTCAAAACCATAACAGAGTACATCATAGCAATCAATAATTTTCTTTAAAGATTTGAAAATACACTGAGACAATGTAGGTGAATTATCACTATGGATAACTGAAAATTTGACAACCTTTTTAGAAGAAAAGGTCCACAACTTATTGAGAATTTTAATTTTTTCACTAAAAATTAAATTTTACTTCGTTCCATTAGTTTATCGTTGTTGGGAGATACACTGGATAAGGAACGACGCAATTTATTGTTTTTGTAATAAACTCTTTGCATTAGAAAAATTATGAATTCTCTACGTTGATAGTCTGCGCTGATGAGCTAAATCGCATTAGCAAAAATCAAACCACTGTGAGCATTAACATCTAGTTGGGGATAATAAAAAGTAATGGCATGTGGTTTTGGATTGAATTATCTCAGTCATTTATTTTTTAGGAGCAAGAAAATTTACATTTTCGAAGAAGCATAATCGAGACCTTCAAAATAAATATAGGTTCTAAATTGATATGATCTTAGCTAACCACATTCACCCAATTACGAATAAGAAAATTCATGATCATTATACCATGGAAGTCGATTTAAAAAAAATTATTAACATGATTGGAGATAGTGGAAAAAATTGTTGATATTATTAAAAACGTAATATATTTTTATATTTGATTGAACACCCTACATAAGCCACAGGAAACAATTAACCTTAGTTATACGATATGTAAAACTTAGCAACAATCCGTTGAAATTAATAAGTGACTTGTTGTCTTTCCTAAAATCGATATTGGCCAGGCCTTGATAAAGGTTTGCCATTATTCAAAAAAATTAGGATTAGAAATAGAAAAAGAAGAATTGTCGTGGAGGTGGAAAATGCGTTACGATATTAGATCAAGTGCGAGAGAGGGGGTTTCAAGCGAATACCAAATAAATTGAAGATCGTTTTTTATGTTTACGGTTTCATCGCATTAGCTATTTGGTGATATGGTGCAATTATCACTAGTTCTATAAGTACTTTTTGGCGTTGTTCAGCGAACATATTCTTTTTTCTGATTTCACCATGGTTTAACATATTACTCTATAAAACGAGGATTTTGTTTGAATAAAAAACGTTATCAGCAGTTAAAGCTTTTCAAGGATCATTTTGGGGTTTTATTCGATATACTTGCATTGGTAAATGCGCCTGAAAGTGAGCTAGAAGAAAATTGTAGTCAATTAAAAACTTTATCTTTGGATCAAGATTCGTCGGAAAGCGATATAATACGATAAATCTATTAAATGAATTCGAAAAATTTAATAAATATATTGTGGACACAGACCATAAATAGAAAGCAAGGTTAGAAATGTAGATTAGGGTAAAATTAAAGGAAGATATTAGGTTTGATTAAAAGATTAGAGTGACATAAAGGGTTAAAATATCAAGGTTTGGTGATATATGGGTTAGGATTTGAATTAAATGTCAAAAAATTCTAAACCTGT